TCATGGACCAAAAATATTTGAAAAGAAAAACTGCACCTGTACTGAGCTATGTGGATGGTTTCTCTTGTCCTATTCAGTTTATGCAGCATTCCCATTGCCTCGGGGTACCCAGAGGATGCCCATAGCTCATGAGCAAACCTTGCCGGCTTTTCACTCAAGGCACTTGAGCATCCATGGGTGTTGGGGTCCTGGAACCAGTCCCCTGTGGGCGGTGCCCTGGCGGCCGTTCTGTTGTCCTGAGGGCTGATTGCAGCCAGTAGGAGGCTCTTGGTCAGCACCTGTGTGGTCCCCTCCACAGGCGCTGCTTCCCCGTCCTCCCCACGTCTCCTACTGAGGAGGGAAGTGGGAGGCTTTGAAGCCCCCTGTCACCCTCCCCAGCCTTTCCTGCAGAGAGAATGTCCCCTGCCTCGCTCACCTGCTTCCTCCCTGCTGCTCTGTCAGGGGCCTCGACCCTGTGCCCTACCTCCCTCCACGGCCCTAAGCCACCCCGGTTGCCCCAGCCTGAAAACCAAACCAGTGGAGGTGAAAGAGCTCCCGTGGCCCCATCAGCCACCACCTCTCTTGGGAGCTTCAGAACCAGACTCCCTCAAGGAGCTGCCTCGTCCCCAGCCCGGGCCCACGTCCCACATCCCACGTCCCACATCCCACGGACTTCGCCCCTCCCCCAGCTGCTGTCCCCAGATGCCTCCCCCTTTGCCTTGAGGATGGGCCATTCCCGGCCACTGGCCCACCTCTGCCCGGCCCTCCTCACGTCCTGCAGGGCTTCCTCTCTCCCTGTTCCCAGGTGTTGTCCTGTCTCCTCTGCGGGGTGAGTGCACAGGGTGCCATCTCCCTGCCTGTCTCTCCTCAGTTCTGCTCCCCAGGCCCTGCCTTCCCTGTGCGTGGCAGCCCCTGGGTGTCCTGCCAGCCCCTTGAGCTCTTCTTGTCTAGAGAACGAGTGGCCACTGCCCCCTCCTCTGCCCACTTGCCACTTTGCTCTCATTTAGCAAATGCCCCCTGCCCCCAGCCCACCCAGGGCCGCGGCACGAACGTGTCGGCCCAGACTCCTCTCCCCTGCTCCATGCCGCCCTGAACAGCCCCCTCTGCAGCGCCCGTCCCCACCTGGGCCAGACTCTGCCCACCCATCCCTCAGACCCAGGCCACTGTCTGCACCAGGCACCCTGTCCCCTCCCTCACTGGCTGTCCCTCTTCCCGCTGCAGCTCTGAGGGGGCCGCTCAGGCTGCATCCCAGCCCCTCAGCAGCACTGGGGCCCAGACACGCTCAGCCTCTGCCCCAGCCTCACTCACCTCTCACCCAGCATGGTGGCCCCACTCAGGCGCAGGCCTGTCTCCAGCCTCGCTCTGCACGCCCCAGCCTTCTGGCTTTCACTCTTGGTGGTGTCTCTGCTCCGGAAGCCTGTCTTCTTCTTTCCCCCCTTCAGGGCCCCCACTCTGCCCCACTTCTGATCCTGACCGTGACCCCCGGGGGCTCCCCTGCCATGCAGTGTCTCAGAGCATCCCCCGGCCGCCAGTCGTGCTCACTCACTCCTGTCCATGTCCTGCTGTGTATGCTGTGTGCCTTCCCCATCATTCCGTGAGCTCTCTGAGGACCCCGCCTCAGCACAGTAAGTGGCACACCAGTGATGCTTTGTTCAGTGGGAGCTCTGCCTGAAGAAATTAATAAATACACAGGTGACAGGTGCAATGGACCCTGTCCATGGTGCGTGAGGACACTGATGGGGGAGCGTGCATTTTCTGTGGCTTCCGTTTGCAAAGCAAGGGAAGGGGAGACTAAAGGCAAGGTTGGAGCCCGGATCCCGAGGTGCCAGTCCAGGCTCCACCACCTGCTGGTGGTATGGCTTTGGGAAAGCTCCTTAACCCCTCTGTACCTCAGTTTCCCAGTCTCTGGAATGGGGATAGCAATTGCAGCTACCCCAAAGGTGGTGGGGAAGGGTCTACGCGTCCTGCTCAAAAAGCTATTGGGGGTGTAAGTGTCACTGTTCCTGTTTTTCACACGAGGAAACTGAGGTGCTCAGAAAGGTCACATCACTTTCCCGAGGTGGAACAGCTCGTGAGGGGCAGCTGGGATGTGAGCCCAGTTCACCCTCTGCCTGTGCCAGTGGCTGGAGAAGCCTGGGCACTATACTTCTGAGCCCTGGGTGGAATGTTCCAGCCCACGCAAGGTGCTTCTGCAAGGATTTGCCTTAGCTCCTGGCGCATAGCAGGTGCACAGCCATCACCAGTCGCGTCAGCGAGTCCCTCCAAAGAGCCCGTTCTCGTTGTCCATGTCCCCTGCGCCCGGCCGGTGGCGGGAGGTCTGTGCTGGGGCCCCTTTTGGCCAGCGCCTTGGCAGCTGGCTTCTCCTCATTCAGACCTTGCCTCTGTCCCAGCGCTTCACAGGGGAGGGTCATTAAGAGAGCTCTTTCCCAGGAAGAGCTGTGTCTGCTCCAAGTCGCCAGAGTCGAGTGCCCCAGCCCCCGCCGCTCTTAAAGGCTCCCCTTGTGGGTTTCAAAACAACCCCACAACTCCACTGCCTCAGAACCCAGCCCCTGAGCCCAGTGAGCCCCATTAGAGTCCCTAGAAACCCGAGATGCGCCCCTGGTTGAAATCAGAGCTGCTAGAAATAGTTGGAGGGTGTTTTCAAACCACGTCTGGCGGAACAAAAGAGCAGTTCATCCTCCGTAGCCTTCAGTCATCTGCTCCCCATTGGAGACTCGGATTGTTCAATTAAGCGCGAGGGAGCCGGCGCAGGCTGCACGGCCCAAAAACTCGCAGCATCCGAAATGTGGGCGACGGGGGAGCCGAGCCAGCTCACTCCTGCCAGGGCTGCCCCTGCCTTCCGTCTCTGTCGCCGTGCAGCTTCCAGTTTGTAGATTGCCCGGCTCAGAAATGGCGACAGCCACGAGAAGGCGGGCGTGTGTTCACGCGTGCGTGTCTCTGTGTGTGTGTGTGTACACATCCTCCCCTCCCCTCCTGCCTGGCAGAGACCTGTGTGAGATCCTTTAGTGAAAAGTGTGGGATCTGGGAGGCACAGATGCACCCCGAGGTGTTCGTCTCCTTGCTCTGGGCTGTCCCTTCTTGTCCACCAGCTGCTGGGCTGGCATTGGGGGCTTTGGCCACTGCTGCCAGGCTTATAGTCTGTGGACAGCAGAGTCTTTTTTTTTTCCGGGGGTGGGGGGTGGGGGGTTTTGGGGATGTGTTTCCCTGGTAGAACGCCCATGCTGTCACTTCTCAAAGCATCCGCAGACTCTCCCCAGACCTCCTCCCAAACGAGATGAGCGAGGACTCAGACGGTGCTTTCAGGTCGTCCCCCCATGGCCAGGGAACCCTCCTTCTATAGCGCCCGTGCCCCACCGCACGTGAGGGGCTCCCAGGGGTCCACACTACAGGGATTGGGACTCGGGCCTGTGATGGGGTGTGGGGGGTTGGGTTCCTGGCTCGTGCCCCGACAGCCATCTCTAAGGCTGCCATTCTGTTAGGAGAAAGGACTGTGTAAAGGGTGTCGGGTAGTAAGGGGCCTCTGGTTTTCAAATCCCAGCTGGACACAGCTGAGACTTCAGGGGCAGAGGAGTGACGGCAGTTAGCATCTCTGAGCAGCCACCCCTGCCTTTCTGCAGTATCTCGGGCTTCCTTTTGGTCCAGCTCAGCCTCGTGGAGGGCAGGGGCCTTGCTTTGTGTCCTCTGCCTCTGACACGGTGCCTGGAACGAGGAGGCACTTCCTCTGTGTGCGTCGACCCCACTGGTCCTGCTTTTCCTGCCCCTCAGTTTACTTCTCCTCGCACTGGGTCTGAGTTTGCCTGGGGGCCTGCCTGAGTTCTCCGGTGGGGGCTGGGGCCGGAGGGAGCCTGCAGACCAGTGCTAATTGGTGTCATTGAGTAATTAATGCAGAATCAGGCCCCGAGTGGACTCCCAGGGAGACAGACACTGAGGGTGGCTTTCACGCTTGCTGGGGTGGGGGCTCCCCGCTCGGAGTCCGTTCCCAGCGCTCTGAGCCGACTGGCATGGTGTGCTGCAGTGGCTTGGCAGTGGCGTAGAGCAGGCGTGGAGGGAGTTTGTGTCGGGGCCATGGCTCTGCTCACTATGGAGCCCAGCGACTTTGACTTCCCGGGGCGGGGGGGCTCCGGGAGCCAGGCCCGTGTCCACTCAGAGGAAGGGGTGGACCTGCAGGGGGGCCAAGTCTGGAGGCGTGGGCTCGGTGCACCTGCTCTCCCTCTCTGTCCCACTCCAGCCCCCTGCCCTGGGCGATGATGGAGGCCCTGAGCCCTACCTCGCTCTGCCCCACAAACACCACGCTCTGTCTGCTGGGCTTTGCCTGTGCTGTTCCCGCATCCCCAGTCGGCCTCCACTCCGTCCCCCTCCTGGCTGAAATCCACGGGTCCATCATGGCCTGGCTCACATGGCACTTCCTCCAGGAAGCTCTCCCAGATGCCCTGGGGCCATTGGGACAGGCGGAATCAAGCTGCAGTGGCCACAGTCCCTGTGAAGAGTTGAGGAGCTCGCCTTGATGCAGCTCAGCTCTTGCTGTGGATCTGCTGCGGGTGCGGGAGGGTGCGTGTGGTCTCCCGGGCACGTGGCAGAGGACAGGGAAGGTGGAGAGCACACTGGCCCCGGCAGTGTCTGTTGGACACGGCACAATTTCCATTACCGGACACGCAGTGGCCAAAGCAGGTCCTCGGGCCACCCTGATTTTGGCAGGGCAGGGATGTACTGTGTCCCCCAGGGGGACATGGAAAGGGCAAGGACACCAGGACAATCTCCCCAGAGCCTCACAGTGGGCAGCGTGCGCTGTGGTCTTCCCTGAGCCATCTCTGTACCGCCGCCCTGGTCCGTGCAGCTCTGCTAACTTACTCCTCTGCCAAGGCGAGGAGGGGGCCTGTGAAGGCAGGGGCTGCCTCCTGCTCCCCTCAGAGACTCCGTGCCCAGCCCACAGGTGTTTGGCGCATCCTGGAGTTATCTGCGTGAATTCAGGGCTCGGTCCTGCAGCTCGTGGCTCCAGCCTGACGCTCACCCTCCCTCTGCAGGCGCAGGGTCCTGGCCATCTCGGATGGGATCCAGCACATCGGGAACCTGCGCTGGGAGCTGGCCTTGTGTCTCCTGGCAGCGTGGACCATCTGCTACTTCTGTATCTGGAAGGGGACCAAGTCCACGGGAAAGGTAAGAGGGACAAGCAAGTAACGGTGGGTGCCAGGGACGGCACAAACTGTCCTCGTGCAGGCTCGTGGTGACACAGACAGGGCTGGAATTCATGGTGTCTGGGCCAGCCCCTCAGGTGGGAGGCGGGAAGGGCACCAGACCGTGAGTACACTCAGGAGTGGAGCATCCATTCCACCCCGACTTGCAGCACTCCTTAGGGCTGCTCTGTTCCACCTGCCAAGCCTCGGGTTGGTCACCTAGGAGATAGCAACGCCTGTCTGTCTGCCCTGGTGCTCTAGAGTCACGCCAGGTAGGGAGAGCGACAGTGCTTTGGAAACAGGCGACTGCTAACCTTTTTTGGTGATTCTTTTACAATGGCGACGTGGCTGCAGGTGGGGGGGGCCAACAGCCATTTCCAGCTTGCAACCTCACTATGCCACCTGCACCAGGTGTCCTCCAGGGTCCCTGCCTGGCCAGGGGAGGAGAGATGGGAAAAGATGGCCGGGTCTTGACCGCCTTGCCCTGGAGTCACACCCGGCTCTTGGGCTCATAGGCTGTGGGCCAGAACACCGGGGGGCCACAGAAAGCATGACAGCCAAGGTGACCCTGCTGATGTTGCTTTCTAGGGTTTGCATTATCGAGGCACTAGGATTTTCTTCTTTGTATAAAATTATTGTGTTACTGACACTCTCCAGATGGCTCCATATCCCCCTTGCCACCTCTTCTGGTCAAGGAAGAGAGGGTCATGGAGGGTTAAGAAGCAGCATCTGGACCAGGTCAGGGCTCAGTAGCCATGTCCTTGGGCATATCGCCCCTCAGAGCCCCATTCTCTGCTGGCCAATGGGATTGATGCTGGAGCTCCCGATGGGGTCGCTGGGCAGGTGAGACGCCAGGATGGACACTCAGTGCCTCTGACACTGTGTAACTAGTTGCAGGTGGCAATTTTAAAGCTCTTAGAAAGATACAGCGTATTCATTCAGGAATCAGCTTCTAAGCATGTAGTATGTAGATACTTCAGAAAGTTCCTGGGAAGTAGAATTTTCAAAGGCTAAGTTTATTTTAATACAAAAATTTTGGAATCCATGCATACGACGGGTTTTCAGAAAGTTCATGAAAAATGCATATTATGAGAAAAACTCCATGGATTTCTATTTTTTTTGCAGTAAAATAAACTTTTCTTTTAATTCTGTTTCCCAAGAACTTAAGAGGTACCCTGGTGAGTACCTAGCATGGATCAGTGGTCATCCATCAGGGACTGGAACATGGCCCCGCCCTACCCAAAGGAGTGGAGGAGGTGTGGAGGCTGTTATCGGTCCTGTAGTCCCCACGCAGAGTCAGGGGTGGCTGGGGATGTGTTGCAGCAGGGAGAGGCTACCTAGTGCTGAGGATCAAGGCTTGGCTCAGCACTGGGACCATTTATGTGTTCCTGTGTGACTTGGAACTCTTGGGCCCAGGACAGGAGCCACAGCAAAGCTTGGTTTCTCTCAGCCCTGGGGAGGAAGCTTGGTCCCAGGAGGTAGGGAGGGGGCTGGATGCAGGTGCCTGGACCCCAGAGCCTACTGTTAGAGGACTTTTAATGGGCAACAGGTGTCAAGGAGGGGAGGGAAGAGGCTCATGGGTAAGGCAAGGGGGCAACTGTTTATCCCGTACCTCTGGATCCCTCTGCCCTGGGCTCTGGGCTTTCTCCACGTTAGAGCCATACACACCCCGGTTTGAGAAGTGGTTGGCTCTATTTTTAGGTGGAGAAGTGGAGGCCAAGGGAGGTTGAGTGGCCCCAGCTCAGGTGCACAGGGACCTGCCCCCTCGCTGCCCCCACCCTTCCCCTGCCTCTCTGTGGCCCTTGGAGGAAAGAGCAGAGCACTGTGGCGCCTGCCCCACGTCAGCCCTTCCCTCCGTCACGGTAGGTGTGGTAGGACAGCAGTGGCTACGATGCCATCAGCCGTGACGGTCAGCACAGACTGAGTCTCCTTTACCAGTTCCACTCGGGGCCTGGGACAGCCCCCTGAGATGGGTGCAGGAGTTCTCCCCATTTTACAGATGGGAGAATGGAGGCTTAGTGAATTGCTTGAGGAACCTCATATGAGGTGGAAGCCCGGGCTTGAATCCGAGCATTCCGCGGTCTGGAGAGGTTTCCTGGCAGGGCTGGCATCTCTTGCAGGCCCATTGCAAGGAAGTCACAGGTGAGACAGCTCAGTGTACATAGCGCATGCATGGTCAGTCTCAATGTTGCTTTTTAAGGGAGCTGCGGAGACAGGACGCGCCAGCTAAGTGTCGTCCCAGAGCCTGGGCTCATGGACTCCTGTGCGTGTCGTGTGCCCAAGGCCAGCATTAGCATCCAGGGTGAGAAGGAGTTGGCTGAGAAGCTGTCTGGATGGCCATCCTTGTTGTGTGCGTGAAGAGACAGGGTCAGGAAGGGACCTGCCCCACCTCAGACCAGAGAGGAGAGCCTGGCGCCCCAGACCCCAGTGGAGGGATGTGCTTCTGTGGGTCCCAGCGGGCAGTTCAGGGAGCACGGGGTCCCTGAGTCAGCAGCTGCAGGAGAGGACGGCGCGGGGAGGCACTGTTGTTCCTGTTTGCTCCTCGCTTCACCTTGGAGATGAGCCCAGCGGCCAAGGGTTCTTTGGGTTCTGTGCAGAAACAGCAGCGATCGAAAACACTGGGCCTCCTGAGACTTCTCAGGGAACAGGGGTTGCCCCGGGCTACTGCATGCGGGGGGGCCCTGGCCAGAGCCACTCTCAAGGGAGGAGAAATTCACACACCTGTTGCCATCTGTTCTTTACCTGCCCACGTGCCACGCTCTGATACCAGCAGGAACCTCATTTATATGACGCGTTCATTAATGTGAGAGTTCCCGGCCCCTCTGTCCCCAGGGTTAAAGCAGCACTCTCAATGTGAGCTGTGTGCAGCAGGCAGTGCGTGTAGGCCAGAACTTGGATCAGGTCACAGATAAGGCCCAGATGAGGCCACAAGGATGCCACAGGTGAAATTGCCCTGCCGCTCTCCATGGGAGCCACGTGGGCACGGGTCCTCCGGCACCAGCCCCTGCTGGCGAGCCTGCATTCAGGACTTCCCCTGGGTCATCTGGGCAATCTGAACCTCAGGAGAGCTACCCGGAGTGGGAGGGTCCCTAACTGGGTCCCCTGTGTGTGCACAGTCAGGTGCCTGCCCTGCAGCAGGCCTGAGTAGCTCCCGCCGGTACCCGGCGCCCAGCAAGGTGCTGGCTCTGTAGCACAGAGCGCGTCCTGTCTTGTCCCCTGAGATGGTGAGCCCTTCTTGGGGGCGGCTAAGGTACACGCAGAGAAGGGTTGGATTCTAAGTGTTAGTGTGAGCGTTCCTCACTCCAGGAGTTGGGCAAAGCAGCCCCTTAGACCTTGGGGATTCAGACCAGTGAGAATCGGCCCTTGAAAGTCAGCGTACAGCAAGTGAGGGCTGGGAGGCAGCTCAGGGTCTGGACTGAAACTGTTTCCTCCACAGCTAGGAGGTGGAGACCCTGGGAGGGGTACAGTGTGCCCACGGCTGACCTGCCTGCAAGCAGCAGAGCCGGGGCCTGTCTGCCTCCCCCAGGCCTGCTGTGGCGTGGAACACACAGACAGCTTCAAGGCAAACACGGTGATCCTGGTTCTGAGCACACGGCGGGTGTTCACTGGGCAGGCTGTTTCCCTGCCCCGGAATACAGCTGCTCTTAGTGCCCAGCAGTCACTCGTCCTTCTCTAGGTACAGCTGGAAGTGCCAGACATCTCCTATGGCCTTAGGACAACACCTGTCTCCCACGTGCATCGGCGTGTAGGACCCTGAGTGTCTGAGGAGTCCCAGGCTTTGGCTTTCTCAGAGAAAGCATAACCCCTCCGGATAAACAGCTTCACTCTGGGTAACTGGAAGGCATTTTGGAAACAGGCCGGAGTGTGCAGCCATCTTTGCCATTTTCCTGGGTCCATTTTTTGGTTAATCCACCAAATCAATCCTGCCTGTTCTACAGACCTTGAAACCACTAAGTCATTTCGGGTGATTCCCTCTGCCTGTATTCCACTTTTCAAGCGTGTCTGTTTTTGTGGAAAAGGAAGGAACCTGTCCTCTCCCTTTTCCCTGTCTCCCCACCACCACACCCACAAATTCCGACACTGAGCACACAGTCGCTCCCCACCACCTCCGAGGGAGAGCAGCTCCCAAGAGTTCCCGTTTGTGCACAAGGCTGAGTTCCCGCTTGCACACCGCACACATTGCTGGTATGCAGTGCAGTCCAGCTGAAAGGCTTTGGATTCTTTTGTTGTTGTTCTCAAGATTTATTTATTTATTTGTTTGGCACAGTTACAGGGAGGCAGCGGCAGAGAGCGAAAGTCTTCCTTCTGCTGGCTCACTCCCCAAATAGCCACAACAGCTGGGCCTATATGCAGCTGGGAGCCTGGAGCTTCCTCCGGGTCTCCCTCATGGGTACAGGGGCCCATGCACTTGAGCCATCTTCTGCTGCTTTTCCAGGTGTGTTAGCAGAGAGCTCCATCAGAAATGGAGTGGCTGGGACTCAAACCAGCACCCATATGGGATGCCGGTGTCATGGTGGCCTAACCCGGTACTCCACGGCGCCAGCCCTAGACTTTGGATTCCCTGAGCTGATCATTGCAACACATCCCAAGTGTTTCTGTTTTCATCTCGCCGTCTGATCTCGCTGTAACGTTGCAGCAGGGATCTGTGACACTTTCTCAGCACCCCCACACATCCTTTTTTTTTTTTTAAGGATTTATTTATTTGAAAGTCAGAGTTACACAGAGAGAGGAGAGGCGCAGAGAGAGAGAGAGAGAGAGGTCTTCCATCTGATGGTTCACTCCCCAATTGGCTGCAATGGCTGGAGCTGCGTCGATCCGAAGCCAGGAGCCAGGAGCTTCTTCCAGGTCTCCCACACAGGTGCAGGGGCCCAAGGACTTGGGCCATCTTCTACTGCTTTCCCAGGCCACAGCGGAGAGCTGAATTGGAAGTGGAGCAGCCGGGACTAAAACTGGCGCCCATGTGGGATGCCGGCGGTTCAGGCC